CGATTTTCACAAATAATAAGTAAGTTACAACAAACTATTGTACAAACATGTTTACTTTGAATGAATTCAATTATTTTGTATTGACATATAGGTGTGGTAGCCTTCGAAGACATTTCTTACTCATACCAAAGACAGGTAGGTATTCCCTGCCCCAAATTTTCATTCATTTGTAAGTCTGAAGTCGTTCACTACAGAACTTTTATTATGTAATATAAAAAACCCAAACAATACTAGTGTCTTTGACCTACATGATCATTCTGCGAAAACATTTTTCTAAATTTTCTAGTAAGAAAGACTTCAAATTGTTCTAGGTATTTCAAATTGTAAAATGTAAGTGTTCCAGATAGCAACAGAACAAAATAGTAAATTATGGGAAATAAATATAGATTTTTTTTGCATGTTAAATAAATTGGAATATGAGGGATATATTTTTTTACGGTAGAGGTAGTAGGGTACACAAAAGAATCGGAATTTGATACTAGAATTATTTACCTTTCATTAAATAACGATATAGCACATTCTCTAGCATTTGAATGTAGAAAGTTTAATACTAAACAGTTTGTTGTATTTTTAATGTTTAACAACAGTTTAAATTAATTTGAAATGGTGCCTCAACATTTAGCCTATAAGACAAGCTACTCATTATTCATTTTAATTTATATTTGTAACACACAGTCTAAAACACAATTTTTTCTGCTTTAACTTATTTTTCAACTAAAGCGGATTGATATGCAGATTTTTTTTAAAAATTAACGATTTAGTTACAAATATAAATAAAAAAATCTTAAAAATATTTATTTTGTTCCAAGTCAATAATATTGAACGTCAAGAAAATTTTGTTTTTAAGTATTCAAACTTAAAGAAATATATATTAAGATTCTTTTAATAGCCATTATTTTGAAATTAATAGTTATAATTAATTTTCTTCTATTGAAATATAGAATATATTATTTATAGAAATTGAGAATTTTGATATAATTTCTGGTAAGAGTAGTTTGTTATCAATAATTACATAGTAACAAATTAATTTAAAACAAAATATCTTTAGAAGCCCGTAAGTCCCAAAATTATTTTGACTTTACCTCTTATTCCCCTGTTTTTGTCTCAAATCCTAGAACACCCTGTATATGAACGTCCTAAACTTTCCTTAGTATATATCTAGTTATTATGGCAGGAAAACAAGTTTTCGCATTTTTGATTATTTATAAGGGCATGTTTTTTCGAAACAATATATCTGTGAGTTTCCAAATAAGATATTAGGAGAATCCCGTTTGTTTCTTTATTGCTAAATATATCCACAATGCTTTAATTAATTTGAAAATCAAACTTTGAAAGAAAAGCACTATCGGTTGTCGTATTTTTTACTCTAGGTATCAAGCTAAATCAAATATATTCAAACATTTTTTCTAAAGAATAGTAAATAATACAAGAGCTGATAATGAATGTATTTTAAAAACAAATTTAGTAAAAGAGAACAAAATATTGTTAGGCAGAAAAACACTTCTTTTTTATCTAATCTTGTTTATGGCTTTTTACAAGTTCGTTTCAAAATGTCGTTTTTTATCGTTGTTATTTGCGGTAAAAATGTGAATAAACTCAATTTTTTTTTCCATTTTAATCATGATTATGAATTGTTTAAGCTCAAAAAAAGACTAAGTTTCCAGCAGTCCAGGTGTAGTAATATAGTTCTTCAATGTTTTACAGTATTGGCATTCATGTAAACGCGGACCTAAAATTTTATTTCAATAAAAAAATATCTACTAATCTATTCATTTGGGTCCAGTCATCCAATCTACTAAACAAAAACCTACATACTGTTAGTCAAGCCAGAAATTTTAAAGAATTTCGTTATCAAAACCGCATTATCCTTATCCTATTCCAATAACCCAATAAGCTAAGAGCAAAAAAGAAAAATTGAACAACCAACAGACCAGCCAAAAGCCCAATTGCATAACTGAAATCGCATCTAAGATCCGTTTTATGCTCCCGTTGATTCAGAAAATCTCTTTTGCAACCCCTCCTGACGTCACAACTCCTGAAGAAGGCGATATATAAACACTACTTACACCGGCAATGGCAGTGAGTTCATCACCTGCAGATCCAAACTTTACTTGCGTTTGGTAGAAAGTGACAACCCACGATACAGTGGAGGGAATCTATATAACCATATAACAGTGAAAAATAGCTCTTCATTTAGACAGTGATCAGTGCCCTTCCAACCAGTGATTATAAAATATTAGGTTGGTACCTTTTTTGTAATTAGTTTATAAATTATATAAAGTTTAGGATAACACAAGTAAAAAAAAAATAAGTCACAAAAAAAAAGTTTTTCTGGCATTGGATTATTGTAAAATTAAAAAATTAGTTTCCACCATTAAAACAAACTGTATTTTTCTTAAGATTTTTATATTAATTGAATTGGTGTTACCAAATTATTGCATTAATTAGAGTAGAAATTTGATGCAACTAATTATAGCTCTTTAGCTAGATATGCTCTATTTATATGAAAAATGTTCGTAAATAGTATAGCATAGCCGCAGTTCATGAAATTATATATTTGCTTTTTTATTAGACCGTATCAGTTATCCACAGGCATCAAGTAAAAGATGCGTTTACATGTCGCAAGTAATAAATTGACAGATATTTTTTTATAACAATGAATTCAAAACCAAAATTACTCTGGATAAATTATATGTATATCAATTTACTGCTGATACAAATGAAAGAAATTCAATTTAAGAATGTTTCCGATATAATTTATATTTTCTTAATAAATCTACTACATTTCAGCGACATATTAGGAATACAACATATTTCTCTAATGGCATATTAATATGTCTTAAGAAGATTGCTTTTTATTGATATTATGCAGCTGTACATAAAGTCAATATATACCTCTATTTTATGGTGCTTTATAAACACATAATGCTTTTAGTTTATTTATTTTGATCTAATATCAGTAGACTAGACAGTTTATTTTCAAAATGGCGGACAATTTTCTGATTAAATGTAGAAGTAAAGTACGTAAAATATTAAAATTATTGGAAAATAGAGTGGATAGGAATCGTTGAAGAAAATAGAGTAACATAGAGCTATTGGATTTGGAGTTCAATACCCGTCATTCAAACACACTTCGCATAACGTTTTCCAAAGTTACGACTGTCAATATATTGCACATCTTGTGAAGACTTATCAATATTCATAATTTTATTGTGAAATTATTACTCCATCGATGATATTACTTTATTCTTATCGGCCATTTTGTTTCTTCACTCTGCGTGACGTCATAGCTCGAGAGTACATACTTTGGTACCTGAAAGTGCACAAAGATGGCCTTTAAGCAACAGTCAAAATATTTTTTCTCTATCTCCCTTGTCAAAGAAGCATGGCTCTGTATTCGTTTGAAATGAAACGCACTGTATATAAATCTATTGAAACATCAGTATTTTCGATTTCATCTAAACTGTTTACTACTTTTGTGCAAGAATTACTACCTCTTTATTCAGGTAATTCGTTTAAAACTGTGTAATCTTTAGGAAAGATCTTATTTCTTAAAAATAAATGGAATTCGCTTCGAACACTTTCCTTTCCTCTAATCAAATATGTGGTTTCCGTCAAATATGATCCAATATATAATCTTACATGTTATTTTTTTTTTGCTCTCTATTCTTCAAGTCTTCTATAGTAACCCTAATTTTCTTAATTTTAAATAGAGCTGAATAGTTGTAAACTACGCCCTCAAGCATCCCAAACAAAAAAGTCTTGCTCTCTTTAAACCATCGAACAATAGAAGGTGGGCTCGACACATTTCACAACAATTTCTACCCATTTAGACAAGTTAATTCGTTTAATTGTTGCAGTTAAGACATCTTTTGTATGCAAATGGCTCCAATAAAATTGAGTGAAAGTGAACAGTTCATGGTTTAATTTTATGTGTATGACAAACACAACAGTCCACTTTTCTATTCACTTTCACGATGTTGTTCTTGTCTTGAGAGATACGGTCACGGCCATTGGTTCATTAACATTAAAAGAACGAGATGCAATGTTTACAGTGTAATGGAGAAGCAACCAAATGTTGCAACGAAGTCGTAAATGATAGGAGCGTTACTATATCAGTAGCCACTATTCAAAACTAGGGTAAAAATTATCAAAATTTTGTAGACTGAATGATTTAAAAGTCTTTATTGATTAGAAAGTTGTTCATAACTTTTTTATTTGCAGTTTTACAATACGTTATTACGTAGCTTAGCTAACATTAAGTCTTTGAAAAAGTACTTTGGAATCTTGTATTAAATAGTATTCTTACCGAATAAAATCACCTCGGTTTTTTTGGCTACATTTTCCGAACACCTTATATTATCAATTTATTCGCAAAAGTAGATACGCAAAAAAGTTTTTAATATTTTAATTATTTTAACACTGAAATGTTTTAAAATATAAACAATTATTCCACTCTAATATTTACTTTATACTGGAGATACAACTAAAAGAAAGTTAAAGTGAAGAAATTTCAACAACTAATAAATTCTAATTTACATTACGTAAACAAATATGCTAATCTTGAATTACCAACCGAATATATAATAAAATATGACATCATATGGACCACAGGCTGTTACTTCGAAAACAAAAACATTCGAAGAAAGTGTGTAGAAAGTAAAAGTAGCTTGGCCTACTTACTCTTGCAATTTCTTGGAATTGGCTATTAAATATTACAAACTGGAGGAGTTGGGCAATTTCACTTTTTTGACATGATCAATATCGCTTTCTTATGTCCACTCGGAGGGAAATATAATGAATGATGTAAATTAGTATTAAAAGTTTAAATGTCTACACAATTATATTTAGGTAGGTGTCTATAATAATTAATCGAAAAAGAAAGTCGATTGACTTATAAAAGAACTTTAGTGGTAATAGAATTTAATTAAATAATATCTTTACAAATAGATGTTTATATCCCGGGCAACAGCAATTTTACATATTTTGTTGTTTCAGAAATGAAGTACACCGTTGCCTTAGCGGTAATTCTATTTCTGCATAGCACGCAGGGCGAAGACAAACACTGGTCGTGGAATGGCGACAACAATGATCAAATCGCTCAACAACCTGATCAGAAAGAATTGAATAATTTTGAGGAATATCAGCCTTCTGCCAGTGAATACGTAGAAAGCCCAGTGCAACTTAACGAAACCGACGTCGAGAAAGTCGTGGACGAAATTTTAACTTCCACCAGGCAGGGTAGGGCTCTGGATGGATTTGGAGAAGTCTATAGCGATCCAACAATCCAAGACGCTCTACAAAAAGGCGATGATGGAGAAGCAAGGAACATTATCAAGGAGAAGTTGTGCTCACTAGGTCTTATGCAGGTAGGATATTGAAACAAGATAATAAAAGAGCTTCGCCAAATCTTTAAATTCTAATAATTCCAATTCAATAACCTTCCTAAGATATTTTTAAATCTTCTTTGGTCACTTGTAGATTTAAATCATTGTTTTCTGTAACTTATCATCTTCATTTCCTAACAAAAGCTAGAATTGAATTAACGTTTTGCAGTTCATTCTCGAAATAAATCTATTAACCCTCTAGCTACTATCGTATCTACACCAAGAACTTGTTGCATATTATTCCCGACGATAATTGTGTTACTGAATTTATCAATTTATTTGTATTCCAGTGTGATGAACACATAGAAGGAAAACGTCCATTCATCGCTCCCGAAGAACTCGTCTACGCACAACCCGTGGCGATAAACCCCGTGGGCAAACCTATCCCAACCATTCCTGTGAAAGGAGTCAGGGGAGGTTACGGCCCACCCCAACCTGTACACTACCCATCCCGCCCAGGAGGACCACCCGGAAAATTCGGACCACCGCTAAATAAATTTGGTCCACAAGGCAAACCACCTCGTCGCCACTATGGCCCTCCAGGACCTCCAAGTAAACCATTTTATGGCAAACCAACCCTTAACGGAGAATATTTCGAAGGGCCTGAGTATCTGTCGAAACCTCCAGGTTTTGCACCAGGGGATTTCATCCCACCCCTTGCTCCTGAAGGCCCTTACAAATTCGAACAAGGTGCTTTCCAGACGGGACATCATAAAGATAAAAGAGTTGAAATAACAGTCAACGCTCAAGGCGGTGCAGCTACAGCTAGCGGAGCATCAACTGCTGGACCTGGAGCAGGTCTTTTAGAGCACGTCCACCATCATTACCATCATAATCTCAATGGAGAAAAGAATCCAATACCGATTGCAGCTGCTGCAGTTTCATCCGCCTCAGAATCATTATCAAATTCCTTCGGTAGCAACTCGGGATCCTTTGGTGGCAGTTTAGGATCATTTGGAGGTAGTTCAGGATCATTTGGAGGAAGTTCAGGATCATTTGGTGGCAGTTCAGGATCGTTTGGAGGTGTTTCAGGTTCATTTGGAGGCAACTCAGGATCCTTTGAAGGCAATTCAGAATCCTTTAGTAAACCAGATTTCATCCCAATTTCTTCAGGAAACTTTGGTGGCAATTTCGATAGTCCCGGCAGCGGTTTTACCATTGGAGGAACATCAGGAGCATTTGGACCAACAGTAGGAGGTTTAACTGGTAGTTCCTATGGAGGTCAAAGCATAGCAAACTATGGAGGATCCTCTTCATTTGGCGTTAATTCCTTCGATTCCATTAAACCAGTGTCAGAAAACTTTGGAACGTCAATAGGTTCCTATGGTTCCTCAGGATTGTACAAGAAGGAACTTAACGTCAATTCCATTAACAATAACTACCTTCAATCTAACTATGCTGACAAGTATCAAGGAGTCGAATCTGCTAGAACCGAAAACTTCGATTGCATTTGTGTACCCTACAACCAATGCCCTTCTCATGACATTATCGGTCGTAAAGATGATCTGTACTTACCTCTAGATCCCAGAAGCTTGAAGAGTGATATAGAAGCTGCCGTTGAAGAAGAGAGAGTTATTACAGATGGAAATGGTACTATGACAATTGTAAGGATTCCAAAAGGAGCGAATTTCAACGCGACGGACAGCCAGACGACAGATACGGAAGGAAAGAAAATCAGCAAACGCGAAGCACCTAATGATAAGACAACGGAGAATACCAGTGCCAAACCTGAAGCTGTAAGTATTTTTAATTTTTTTAGGAACTTGATAACCATGGAATTTATGAATTGAGTAAATATTTCATATATACATCAGCTAATATATTCCATAGTTGTTTTTTAAAACTAATTATACTAAAGTATTAACCTTTAACTTGATGTGATGTTATGTTATGAACTAACAATGGATATTTAACGTAATTTAAAGATTAACAAAAGAAAATTATTTATTTTGTGCCTGTATTGACAAAAGCTATGTTCGTAGAGAATTGTGAGGAAAAATCTGGCACTAAATAAGAATGAAAAATAGGTTACCATTTAATTACTTTACGAACAAAGTCAAATATACTATAAAACCATGCAATTCGCTTTGACTACGGCAAAAAAGAAATAAAGGTGACTAGTTAGCATCCGACTAAAGAAACCACAAATACAACTTCCCTGTGCCCTACTATACTTGTATGACATGTTACCACCGCCTCTTTGACTAAATCACTAAGCGAGCTACTGTAGATAACAAAGGTCCTTCCTCCAGGTGATGGTTTAGGTAAATTAAGACCAGTATTAGTAAACACGGTGAAATTTTTGCAGCGCCAATACGGATCTCTTGACATGAAGAAAATCAAACCCACTTTAGGCATTTCCTTTGGCTTACCCCAACAAGGAGGCGGTGGATATCCCATCAATCCTTACGGTCCCAATCCCCACGTCAATCCTTACAATGGCGCCATCGGAGGCGCGGGTATAAACCTAGGGCTGGTTTCTGTAAATCCCTTGGTATCCATTCAAGTTACAAAAGACGATTATGGTAACAAAGAGATAAAACCATTCGTCAATTTGCACGTCACTCCAAATAACTATCTTGTTCATAAGTTTGAAGACCTTTTATCTTATAAAAAGGCAGTCATATTTAATAAACATAAACACTATCATATCCACAAGGGCCATCGCCCTTATCACTACCATACTCATCATCCTTCCCATCATTATCCTCACGAATCGTATCAGGATCATCACCCTAGCCATGTCGAATACGATGGTCCGTCTTTTCCTCCAGGTCCTGTATTTGATCATGGAAACTATGATTACGATCAAGGCCACCATTCTTATCCAGATCATCAATATCCTGAACACGGTTCCTATTTCGATGACCCATTGAATTATGGAGGTACTTTCGATGGAGATATAGACTATAAAAATTCCTTCTATGTACGAGATTCCCGAAATAATTCAGATTATGTTGCTGGTAACAATTTATTACACCAATACCAGCAACAGTACGACAATGGTCAAAACTTATATGGAAATTTAAATGGTAACGACAATGATCTAGATTACGGACAAAGTACGAACGATTTCGAGTACAGTTCTCATAGCAATTCAAGGCGTGGTAAAAGCTTAAGAGTTTCATCCCCTTCCAATCCGATAAAATTCCCTTCTAGTAGAAAGAAACGAGACGTTACGCAAGACCAGACAGTAAAAAGCAAAATTACTAAGGTAGAGTATCCCGAACTTTACTTCGCCTTTCTTTCATAGCACCTTGAAATAATTCTACATTCTTCTTTTCTCTAGCGTCAGTTTAGTGGAGCATTTGGTCGTCCTCAAACCTGCGGACCGAGACATGTTTGCTGCAGGAAACCTTATCGCCCTCAAGTACCACAATCGGCAAACCGCCAATGTGGTTCAAGACATGCTCAAGGTATCAACGGACGTATCAAGAACCCAGTTTATGTCGATGGAGATAGTGAATTTGGGGAATACCCTTGGCAAGTGGCCATCTTGAAAAAGGATCCTAAAGAAAGTGTTTACGTCTGTGGAGGCACTTTGATTGATCCTCTTCATGTGATAACTGCTGCACATTGCGTAAAAACGTAAGTAAAATACAGTATTTATCACAACTGTAAAATTAAACCTTAAATTACGTTTTCTTACTTTATTTCTTGCCCTTCCGACTTGTAGATTCATTTACATTTGTTACAGTTACACTGGTTTCGACTTACGAGTTCGTCTGGGAGAATGGGATGTAAACCACGACGTCGAATTTTACCCTTACATCGAACGCGATATTCAGTCGGTCCATGTCCACCCAGAATTCTATGCCGGTACCCTCTACAACGACATTGCCATCCTGCGAATGGACAAGCCAGTAGACTGGTCCAAACACCCTCACATCAGCCCCGCGTGTCTTCCCCAACTCCACGATGACTACACCGGTACCCGTTGCTGGACTACCGGATGGGGTAAAGACGCTTTTGGTGACTACGGAAAATACCAAAACATCCTCAAAGAGGTGGACGTACCAGTAGTCAACCACGCAGTATGTCAAAGACAGCTTCAGCAGACTAGGCTTGGGTATGACTTTAAACTTCACCCAGGCTTCATCTGTGCTGGAGGAGAGGAGGGAAAAGATGCTTGTAAAGGAGATGGAGGCGGTCCTATGGTTTGTGAACGTGGAGGCAGCTGGCAAGTCGTTGGTGTCGTCAGCTGGGGTATTGGCTGTGGACAAGTTGGCGTGCCAGGAGTCTATGTTAAAGTGGCTCACTATCTCGACTGGATAAAACAAATCACCCAGAGATATTGATACCTCCGTACATAAAAACTAGTATCACGAAAAGAGGAGAATTTTAAATAGTAACTCTTCCTCTGTGGTAGCCAAATAACAAGAACGTTTTTAGTATATTCATTTTAAGAGATTGTGTGTACGGCAATATTTGCTAATGACTTTTGACTGAAGTTATTAGGTTATATTTTATTTATGTCATTTAGAATAAGCCTAACTTATTTTTGTAAATAATAAGCACTATTTTAATTTTATTATATTCTTGTTGTGATAGTAGACTCGGAGCATTTAGTAGACCAAGCTTGTAAAAAGCATATTTGTTATCTACTATTTGTACTTAGAAATAAAAAAATATAAAAGAAACTTCCTTTTATTTGCTCTATTGAAGAAGTAAAACTATAGCTTATAATATAAAATATGTATATTTCGCTAAATACAGCATTCATATAATACCAGTGCCAGCTTCAAAAAAGTTGCCCTAAGGTGTATCATATTTTAACGTCTGAAAAAAATTAAAAAATTGCAAATGGCAAATACAGTGTTTTTGATAAAAACTAAATTAAAAGATATGAAATAATCACGATTAATTATAATATTAATACAATCACCTTCCAAAACAGTCGAAGCTCTTGAACATCCGGTCTACTTCTGACCCAATGACCTCTCATGAAAGACTGTATCTTTAATGCTGCAAAATCCTTTGTCCATATGAGACGGAAGGGATAACGTGGTCTCGGACTAAAACAAAAGCTTTTACAGGTTGCTCTATGCCAGTTACGCAAGAATTTAGCCATTACTGTTGATCTAAATAGTCTTGCACCCACTGCATGTCGAATATATAAGTCCAGTTGGATTCCCTTTCGGGATGATTTGGATTCCGGTTATATAAAACTTCACTCAAATAATCCAGCCCATTTAAAGTACCATTAGGATGCTTAAAATGTATGAATTTCATTTTGCTACTAAGAAATGTATCGGAAAAATATTTTGTAATAGGCACTTGATGAATATTTCAAAATAAAATTATAATATGGACGAAACAACAAAATAACATTCAAATACGAAAAAACAAGTTAAAGAATTTCAAATACATATATATAATAAATCAGCATTAAACAATGTACTATAATTTCTTCTGACATGTTTATCGTTACATCAAGATATTGAAAAAAATTATGTACATACAGTAAAGCTATTATCCTCTTTCACTTTCAACAGCATTTCTATTAAGGCTCGTTTCAGTGATGGAAATACGGTTTCATTTAGATACTCCACCTCTGGATCTATAATGCAAATTTGTAGAATAGAATTATAATTATTAAAAATGTGTCGTCAATACTTGACACAGCTTTTTCTAAATCTCTCTTTTTTATGTATTCCTCGGTTTCCTGTTTATCAATAACATCATCCTCTAGCATTACGCGCCATAATTCTGTCTTTGATTCCGAAGTAAATTTTGAATCTGAAAGCATTCTCTTAACGTCGGTTGTATTCGTTAAATTCATACTAGTGTTATCAAGTATCACAATCACAGACAAAGGAAACAACTCGCTGTGGGCAACAGCTCGCAGTGATAAAAAATTAGAAACGTACTAAAAAATGACAACTGTATTTGACATAGAGTACCTTACATGAATTTGTTAACCACTCTATGTGATGAATTGTCGTCATTTGGTCGCAAATGAGCATTGGTTAATATCTACCGTTCAACAGAAATGCCCTATCTGTGACAGTATATTAGACCATGGAGCGAGCATCTTTAATAATACTGTTCTATTGTACAAAAATTATAACCTAACGTTTTATATACAATATTTTATTTTTAAATAACAAGAATCACTTTATAATGCCCTATAAGTACATTGGTCGGACTACAGATTTTAAAGGCAAGACGCTATGGGAAATTGTGGGGAATTTAAAGAATTTTGGAATTGGTAGAATAATTACAAGAGGAATGTATGAACGCTACCCCGAGCCATCATATTTTAAGATACTGAAAGTAGAAACATTGCCCAATCCGGAGACGGTTTCATTCGACGTAAGTACTTGAAAAAGTAAGTGGATATACAAACTAATTTATGAATTATTTTAGAACGTTCGCAAAGTGCGAGTTTGGGTGGAAAAAACTTTTCGTGGCAAGGTATTTCCTAGTCCAATCATTATGGAATCAGCAACTTACAAAGCAGACTATAGACTCATTCCTAAAGACGAAGAGGAAAAGTTTTGCAAAACGGTTGTGAAGGATGAAACCAAAATTTTCCCCAAATACTTCGAATTTCCGCCAGTCATGAAAGAATTAATTTTAAGAGATATGAAAGCTGAGGGAAGTGACGCCACTGATGAGCTCAAACTGGAAATTGTTTATAATAGAATAAGCAGGAAAACAAAATATAGGATTACCGAAGATGGTGAAAAGCCAAACGTTGAAATAGTTATGGGACTCGGTAAACCTGCCGCGCCTAGTTTGTATGAAGGAGTAAAATTATAATTTTTTTTATGTATTTGTAGTTAAATTAATATAATTAAGTCGTTCAAATATTTGAATACTTTGATCCCGACGGAGTGAAAATCCTGAAATTTGCATTTAAAAAAATTTTATTGTGTTCTAAACTGCATCAGTTTTTGTGTCGTTTCTGATTTATTTATTTAAAAATGGCCTGATGTGTGTGTATTAAAAAAAGGGCAGTATCGGTATATTTAAATTTTATTTACAATTACAGAAAAGTATTCACTATTTTCACCTCGAAAATCCTTTTTATTATTACGTAAATTTCATAATCATTAAAAATACAAATACGCAGTAAAATTCTTCGTCTTCGCTATTTTTTTGTGAAGAAACTCATTAAAGTTGCCTGGTTTTTCACGGGTTTCTTCTTATCCGCAGCTTTTGATTTTATAATCGGTTTTTCTTCCTTTTTCTCTTGCTTCACTGGTTCAGGTTCTACATTTTCATCTTCCGAAGCAGTTTCATACACGTATTCTGTCTTTGTAACTATAAAAAAAATTTAAATTTTATAAAAACTTCCATAACAAATTACTGGACGTGTAGTATAAATTTTTATACTACGACAGTAACAAGAATGGTTAAACGTTAAAAAATTGGAATTCTTTTCTTTGCTCCACAATGCAAAATCTTTCAAAATCAAGAAATTAAATGTTGGCAGTCAGTTTAATAACGGATTCTTACCAATGAAGCCCTCTTCATCTTCGTAATTTCTTGTGACGGCTTTTCTCCTTTTATTTTTAGGCACGATTGGTTTCTGCACGACTGGCGAAGGTATTCGTTCAGGTTCTTCATCGGACCTCTCTATGATGTCTTCATCGTTGTCTTTTTCGAACATATCTAAAAATGTCGTTAATTTCTTCTACACTAATGCAAACAATTAAAGGGTCAAAAGGGTTAAGGGACTGTAATTAGGTGAAAAATGGTCGTATCGGGAATTAAAAAAAAATCTAAGATCCTAGATTTTAGATCTTTCGGTTTGAAAATTTTTAAGAGCTACGGTTATCATGCAATTTTAAGAAATAGCGTGACAAAAAAATTTTGCAATTTTTTTTTTCGGAGTCCACATAAAAAATTTTTTCAGCTAAGCCAGACCATGGACCAGACAGCTTCTTTATTTAAGCAACATTAAACGATACTTTTTATTGTGAAACCCGACATAAATCTTTTCTAAATATATGAAAATGTTGAAAAAAAAAATACATGAAAAAATTAAGTCTCAACTCAGTGATATAAAATTTTTTTTTATTATTTTTGAAAGACAAATTTAATGCACAATATTCTTCAAGTTTTGACACTTATGTTTAAAAAAAAATGGTAGGTAAAGAAAAATCCCAGTAACTAACAAACTAAATACAAAAAATATTTACCATCACTATCGGAACTGTTCCTCTCTATTATCCTTTTCCTCTTCTTTGAGGGCAATTCCCTACTTTTATCCCTCCGCCTTTTATTTGCCTTCTTCGGTTTCTCTTGACTATTATTCTTTCTTTCTCCATTCTTAACTGTATGATCTTTTTTCGACACTTTACTTTCCTCCTTAATTGTTACGAGTTCCTCACTGGAATCGTCTATAACATCCCAAATTTCTTCTTTAGAACTAGTTTGAATTTCAGCATTACTAGAACTACTTTCGATTTTTATTTTATCTTTTTTATTGCTCTCTTTCGACGATTTTAATGCACCGTTATTAAGAAATCCTGACAGACCTCTGGGTTTATCAGCAGGTTTATTCGGTTTAGAAACGGAACCCTTACCATTTTTGGGTTTCGATGCGGCTGCTTTAAATAAATCTGCTATCGCCCCTGAAGCTTTACTCTACAAATTGATTAAAATTAATTAGTAAAGATTTATTGAATTCTAAGTACCAACCTTTTGTTCAGTCTTAGGAGATACTGTTGACTTTTCTGACGATGCACTTGCTTCAACCTTCGGTACGAAGAAGGAAGATTTTCCTTTAAGAATAGGAGGAGCCGGAGAAGGCAATTTTCTAAATTTCAGTGTACGTTTAGTACAGTTTTTACTCACAATCGAACCATGTCTGTGTAAAAAACGTTAGGAATAATACAGGGTTCTGAATGCAAATCGTTGTTACTTACAGTGCTGTTTCTCTTATTTTAGTCGAATTAAACATATCCACAAGAGCGATAATATTAAAGTCCACATTTTTGTTTTTCTGAACGCTATAAATTACTTCACACAGGTTAGCCTCAAATATGTTCTTCTTTTCTTTTAAATCAACCTCTTTAACCATAAAAACACCTTTTCTTGCGTTCTCTTTCAGTGTTCCCGATACAACATATGTAACTGCTAGTTCGTCTGGCTTCAACTTTCGTTGGTCTTCAACATATTTGGAAATTAAATTGCGTGAATTATGAATAGAAACACCAAGATCTGCTGCCAGAGAAGATACAGTTACCTGAAAATGTATAACATACGAGATTAATTTAACCAAAATTTACTACTCACAATTTTATCATCATCTTGGATTAATTCTTGTATTTTCTGAAAATATATTTCTTGTGTTGCACTGTCCATGCTAACAATATCTTGTTTATTCAATTAACTCCAAAATATATTTTTATGTTGTATATTTCTTTTCCTCATATTTGACAGTTGACGTTTAATAGAATGAAAAATACCGCCATAAAGTCCCCACCGCATTTTGTTTCTAAGCATGTTTTAATGATGCAACCATGAACGACCTGTGTTAATTTCTATGACGTCATAATTTTTTTAAACGCATTTCTCTTGAAAAGTATGATAAAAAATATAATCTGGTAAGTTTCGTTAAATTTAAATAATGCCAGTTATTGAAAACACGATGAGAAAACGTTAATTTATTTTGAATTTATAAACAGAGGTATTTTTTCTTAAAATTTTAAGAAAACATTCATCTGAATATTAAAACATCAACCTTCAAAGCATTGATAGTGTATTACTGGTTGACTATTACACAAGAAGAAAGTAATGTTTAAACTACCGTAGATATAGTGGCCACATTAGCATTTTGTAGAATTATTATTTTTTCATGTAATCTAGTCTTATCGACGAGAGCCGGATAATTATTTTTTGGTTTTAAATAACTGTTAGTCGTTTTAAAACTTACCAGATATCTACTTAAATATGTTACTATTTTCAAAAATAAGAATTTTTCCATGAAATTGAATTTAAAGTGTATTTATGAACAAAAATCGAATCAACTGTACATAAATATAGAGATTGTAAAATTTAAGACCTACTTAAAAGTTCTTAACTTGCGATTTAAATCCTGCTACGAAAATGTGTAGGTATATTCGCGAGGAGTTGAAAGTCAAGTTATTATTTATTATTAAAACGAATGAAATAAAATTCTTCACTCCGTTATCCAGTCACGTTTAGATATAAATCTTGCTGGCAATTTTTAAGTTGTTAGCTTTCTTGCTGTTTCAAAGCCAGTACTTAAAAAAAATGGTTAGTTAAGTAGGTAACAAAGCAAACACATTTTTGACGCTAAAGAATACGCACACTGACAAAAATTGTGGAACTTTACATGAACTTTTTACATTTTTGCATGGTTTTTATGCAGAAAAGAATGTCAGAATTGTAGCTTATTATTTAAGTTATTTACATATCCACTTTTCTTACTGTTTTACTTTCACTTATTCTGATTTCAGTACAAATGTTCTCAGAATCCTTAAAATGTTCAAAAAAACAAGTGGTTTTTTGTTCCACTAAAGACTAAAGAACTCTTTTTTTTTTTGTTAAAATGAAGAAATTAGAAATCCATCTAGATTTTATGCAGCGGTGCATGTAAAACTATTTAGAACGACCAAATAAATTAATTGCTGTACATACATGGCTTTTTGAAATGATCTTTAATTGCAGATAGAATGACACAGCTAAATATCTAAGCTTATTATAGTCTTAAATGTCTATTTATAGCTGAAATAGATTACGAGACACAAGTTCAGTGGAAATTCAGGTCGATATTTCATGCGGTTGAACTCGGTCCAGAAAAATTATGCACAATGCGTTCTATCTTGAGCTCAGAACGAAGCCTGCAAGTTATATTTCCGCCAAGCATAGTTCACTGAGCTTTCCACTTTCAGTGCAAATCATTTTCACTATGTATGGATAAGAACTCCGATAACGATAACTGAGCAATAAAATAAACATTGCAATTCCTGAGCAGATATTGAGTGAATTATTGCTTAAGCTTTTATAGTAACAGAAATTTAAGCAAGATACGAAAAAGATTTTTCTTTGACAAGTCTGTACATCGGTATTTCGAGTTAGTCTTGTTTTGATTGTTTCCCTTGCTTTATGTGAGCATCCCAACCTTCCTAAGTATGATCCCATTTCATGTAAATACTTCATATAAAATGTTTTTTTCTTTTTCTAAGGCGCGAATCTTGGCAAATCTTCAGCTTTTTGGTGTTCAACATTTCGCATTCGAAGCATCACAGCATTAAATAATAAAATATCTTCTTAATATCAATTAAACAAACCTGAATTTACAAAATACCTTTTGCAGAATCACTCATTTAATTTACATAACAAAATAATTTCCATGATATTTACATATAAATAGAAAATTTATATTTAATAATAATACGGTAGTGATAATTATTTCTAAGTATTCTTATATGGTAATCATGTAATATTTCCAGCCGATTATATCATAGGTAAACTTTTTGCATCACTTAACATTAAACTTACATATGCATCACTTAAGAGACCTCATTTAATTTACTCCTGCTAACCCAGTTAATGAGAATAAGAAACCAAGACATGAAGTTATACGAATAATGCTAATTTTTTTGAATATTTTATTTCGAATGTTATTGTCGAGTGTAATTTATCGCTATAACGCTGCAGCAGCGGGCATTTAAGGATGTATACAGTTAAATTGTTAATAAACATAGTCGTCACAGGGTAATGAAATTTAAGTCAATGGTACACCGTTAATAATTTAATGTTAATTGTGAATTAAGTGAGAATTGAAAAATAAAGTACCTAACTGTAAAATTGAAAAAACTTTTAAGATGTCACGTTATAACACTTTTCTAATTATAAAAATTGTTTTTATGGGAATTTAAAGTACGAAAGACAGAAAACACTTGAATCTACCGTTTTCTTTGATTTTCATAGGTAAAAGATAGTTTTTTCATTCCATCATTGACACTATAGAGTATAGGGGAAGATTCTCAAATGTGGTATAAAATTGAAATAGGGGATAGGAAATGTTATTTTAAACAAAAGGTTCCCTTCAAACACGTGTTTGAAAATGTTAATAAAAAAGTTACAGGGTGATACAGGTCTAAGAATAAAATTTATTACATTTTTTTTTCATTAAACTCCTCTAAAAACCAAAGAAACGCTACGCTAATGCTTGTGGCACTCTTTAGTTTCGAGGAATGGACATGTAGGCCGATATAGTTATGCACCGACAGTCTTCAGCTATAATACTCCCAAAATTTTACATTGTCTTTGACAATCTGCTTTTCGTGTATCTGGGTTCATTCATCTAATTAATTGGAGTAAATAATCGTAAACAGTTATACTTTGTTGATTTGTCTATTGCTGAGATAATTCGAATAGTTCGCGGTTATCGTTTCAGTGAATCACTATGTGGCTGTGAGAATGTCTTTGAAGAGCAGAAAGCGTGGTATTTTTTCGGAGCATCATCGATTTATTTCCAATTGTGACCGTAATTGGGCAATTATTCAGAAAATGGAAATGTACCTTATCTAAATAATTTTGATAGCAAAACAGATTGACCGTATTTTAAAGCTTTTTCTCAATTACTTAGAAATTGTCTCCTTCGTGTTATGTTGTATATTCCGACTTCAATATTCCTTCAAAGTTTTTCACTTATTCAAATTATTTGTTAATAAATTTCTCTGTACATATTACTAAATAAATCCTTTTGTTGATTGTATGGGACAATGCTCGTCATCACCGACGTCGACGTTTAAAAATATAACCGAGAAACAAATCTGCTTGATTCAGCTAAAATAAGGTTAATTGTGGCACAGTAATTTAATAGTTTTAGCGTTGCAATATACAATTTTGGCTATTTGCAATAGAATTTCCAATATGTGCATTTTAATGTTTACATTTGGATTTGTACTTTTTCTCATAGAAATGTTCATAGACTATGAACATTTTTGATCAAAAAGAAGGCATCTGAAGGGCTGAATTGAGTTAGGTGATAAAATAGTTACAAATTGCCGCAGTTAATTAATTTAATTTTGTATTAAATATAATAACTGAAAAAGTTTTGACTAAATTAAACTGATTTTATCAGAAATCACACTTCAGAGTTTTAAAATTCCTCCTAAAACTTTTGGTTATGCTTCCTAAAACGCTAACAAAAGAAAATTTTAATAAATCTTGTTATATTTACGACTGGTCAATCAATTTTCAAAAATTAATTTTATTACGACACATCTCCAATTAAATTCAATATTACTCGTCCAGATCGGCTACCTAATATGACCAAAACTCGTTAAGTTATTAAGGATTACGCAAGCATAAGATTAAGTTGTCAAAATAATGACCAATTACTGTCGGTACGATGTCCAAGTCATGCCAGGATCATTAAAGACTAAAGCGGATTCCTTGGCATCCGATTTTATCTGCAATTGGTAAACAAAGAGAATTGTGTCGGGCGAATATTGTTGTTATAAAAAAAATCTAGTGAATTAGATAAGGAATTAAGAAACGTTAGAATTTTTGGATTGAAATATTATGTGTATAATGAAATTCTGATGCAATAGATTTAAATAAGATGCTAACAGATAACATTTTTTAAATACACATTTATATTCTCTCCTTGGTAACACTCTTGTAGACTGTATATTTTTATTGATGGCGATCCTTTCCAAATAAAAATTATTTAAATTAATGCAGATTGTAAACAAGCAACAAAAATGTTAACAAATTTAAAGATCTGCAGTTGAAGACACATTCTAATTGATGATTCAATTAGCATCCACAAATTACTGCAATTATGTCTTATTTTGGAGTTTTTTTTTATTGTATTTTAAATGTTAATTTTATTTATACAAAACGATCTTACTTATATACTGGGCGCACATTGGAGTCGTAACCAGCAACCAATAAAATAAATTAATGCCTAAAGATGAAAAAGACATACTTAATCTAAAAGTACGAGTATTTAAATCATTTGTTAGAAATGTTTCAGGAATGGATTGTCCACGTCAAAATAATAAGAAAAAACTCAACTGCTGTTATGCCATGTTGCGATTTTCCGGACTCACCCTGTATGTGTATTTGAGACATTTTTAACGCAACATTTGTCGTATCATTGCTAACAGCTACAAATAGTCAGTCGACTGAAAGTAAACAATTACTTTTAGTAATTGCTTTTTGTAGATGTAATTTTGACACTAAACATGAAGATACTGTAAACAAACCTTAATATACAATTTATGAATAGAATTCATTCATTTCAAGTCCTTTCACATTTTAAATGAAAGAACAATTGTTAAGCTTACAAAAGCACATAGTACGTAGTACAATTATACTCTAATTTGAAAATGAATTGGAAAAACACTTGTCAACTATTTAACAAGAAACAAAACAGTCACTGCGGTCTTGGTGATCTGATACGAGTAGT